TAATTTGTGTATTCTTCTGACCAAATATCCTTTATAAGATTACGAAAAGCTATTGTAAGTGGAGTATGTTTATTCAAATTTGGTCGATAGACTTTGTGAAAATAGTCTTTTAAATCTTGAACATTGCTCAAACATTGTATAGCACTATTAATATAACAGGTATTGCCTATGTTCCGAAGACCGCGTAGACCAAGTATTTGTTTGGTAGAAGTTTGTGTCGATACTTCATATCCAATCTGGAAATCATCAGTTAAGCCGTGCTGCAGAAGTGTCTCATTTTTAGAATCATATATAAGTTTCGTCCAACCTGATGAAGGTTCCCATTTCCATAAAGTTGATACAACTGTGAAAGGTAATGAGAAGGCAGCAATAATGTTGGTTTTTAGTAACTCGAATGTACCATTAATAGGCATTTTAATTATTTTAGCATTTGGCTCTGTTGCAGTCTTGTGATACACGTTTAATCGAACCACATTATCGATGACGGAAATGCAGTCTTGCTTTTGTTGATAAATAAGTATATAGGCCATCTGACTGATTACTTTATCTTCATCTATTTCTTCTACCGTACTATCATCGAATTTGTACCATTTGCCATTTACATCATTTCTTGCATATGTTGTATAATGACCACTAAATATGCTACCCGAATGATTAGAAACACCTATCAATTCATATGTAATTCCCTTATTTTTTTCGGGGCCTTCTACAAATTCGTTTAAGTCTAAATTGTTTCGCGGATAGTTAATAAATGTTTCTATTTTTCTATCTGTTCGAAGATCTGAACGAAAACGTTGCAATTGTATAATTAGTACTTTTGGTAATTTCCATATATCGAGTTTTCTGTCTGCATCTGTGAACCGCTCACAACCAACATTGTTACAATACCACTGATCCTCGTTACTGTACGTTTGACGTTTTGTTAATGTTTGAATACAATCTCGTAACGTAACCGATGACGATGATTGGTTACATGAGGATGAATATTGCTCTTCGGGAACTTGTAATGCAAGACTTGTAATCAAATCATGGGAATAAAATGGAATTTTGCATTGTGAACAGGTAACAGTTGATTGTATTTCACCATGAAATAATTCTTGAATTTTTGAATGACCTTCATCAGTTTTTAATTCTTCGTGTATTGCATTTATCAATGTAATCATGAATTCATGTGAATCTTGTGGACGACTATTGCCAAACCTTGATGACAATCGACTCATGTAATCTTGCATTGCTGTTGGATTGGGTGGATAATTTGTGTATTCTTCTGACCAAATATCCTTTATAAGATTACGAAAAGCTATTGTAAGTGGAGTATGTTTATTCAAATTTGGTCGATCGACTTTGTGAAAATAGTCTTTTAAATCTTGAACATTGCTCAAACATTGTATAGCGTTATTAATATAACCGGTATTGCCTATGTTCGGAAGACCGCGTAGACCAAGTATTTGTTTGGTAGAAGTTTGTGTCGATACTTCATATCCAATCCGGAAATCATCAGTTAAGCCGTGTTGCAGAAGTGTCTCATTTTTTGAATCATATATAAGTTTCGTCCAACCTGATGAATGTTCCCATTTCCATAAAGTTGATACATGTGTGCCTGATAAGAAGAACTCTCGAATAATTTCTTTTTTTAGTGACTCGATTGTATCATCGACGAACATCTGAATTATTTTATAATTTGATTCTGATTTCAACCGATTGCATACGTGGAATCGGATTGATTTATTTGGCAAGCGATTAGCCGCTTGGGGTGACGATGATTGCTGCGGATTAGAGCTATGCTTTTTTTGTGTGGAGCCAGTCTGATGCACGTTGCCAGCCGTTTTATCTTTTCGATGCGGTTTTGTTTCACGAACTTGTGACATTTTAACGTTGTTTGAATAATGAATTTTTAAGCATAATTACTATAAGATTGAAGGCAAAAGTCGTAATATTTGATAAGATAATGTTTTCTGATATCTAAAATATTTTCGGAAGAAAACTTAAGCTAAGCAGCAGAAGTTGTAGACGCTTATGTAAAATACTAGAGATTGGAAGCGGCTAGAAACAATTGGCTTGACAAAGATAAGCTTTCTTTCCTTGCCCTAGTGTACACTCTAAAAAAAAATCGTTTTTTTACCAAAACCCCGAAATAGGTTCGGGAGATTTGAAAAAGCGTCCAATTGCATTCAAAGGCTAGAAAAACGATTCTTCAGTTCTACGAAACCTTTAAAAGTTCTTCCCCCGGGCAAACGGGCAGAACCTTCTCCTCCGAAACCTTTTTTAAGTTCCGTACAGCAGAAAAAGGTTTCGCAAGAAAATGCGAAACCTTTAGATTTACATATTCAGTTTCAATATTTAGTACGAAGCCATCGGAGTTCAGCAAAAAAACCATTTGAATTTAATTATAAGTGCTAAAGGTTTCGTATTTTCTTACGAAACCTTTTCTGCTGTACGCAACTTAAAAAAAGATTTCAGAGAAGGTTCTTCCCGTTTGCCCGAGGGAAGAACCTTTA